TGTAGATCTATTTCATCTTGTGGGGAACAGTAGACTGGAGAAATTATTAATTGTTCATTATTGTTCTTGATGTTAATTACTATTAAATCTGTATGGCTAAAGAGTACTGTAGGAGACCATTTCATATTAGTAATAACTGTTATTGCTCTAGAATTTTCCATGTTATCATTGGTGATTCCAGTTTTTATAGATGTGAATCTATCTGATTGTAACAAAAAACTTCCTCCAAAAAATATTCTTAATGAAATTTTAAAAAAAAAAAAAAAAACATGAAAGCGGTTCCTTTAGTGCAGGTAGTAATCATGAATTTATGGTTCTATCTATGATTTTCTGCAAATATTTTGGTAGTTTTTCAAAACCTTCAGCTCAGAAACTTGGTGGCTGTGAGTCCAAAAATAGATCAACCTCATTTCAGACTTCCTGTACAGAATAGAAGGTAGTACCAGCAAGATATAGCTGCAGGTGTAAAGAAAGGTAGAGGTTTGAAGGAGTAATGGTAGGTGTGGTAAAACATACTATTTGAGTCTATACAGAGTTCAGCCGGTGAATGCAGACGCATGTAGTTTCGCATTATCTTGATGAAACATTACTTTTTGTGCCGGAACTCAGTTCGACGTTTTTCCTTGATAGCAGCTTTAACATGGACTCTCATCTCACTGTACACCTTACTGTTAAGGATTTTACCTTTTTCCAGATACTCTTTGTGGATAATACCACGACAGTCCCGCCAGATACAAAGCATGATGTTTTTGTTAGTCAAATTGTGTTTTGCAGCTGTGCCAATACTGGCCTCAGACCAACCCTCTTTTTGACCTGTGTTGTTGAAGTAAGTCCACTTTTCATCACTAGTGATGATCCAATCCAGAGTTTTGTTCTTGCATTGATATTCGAGCAGATTATTGCAGACCTGAACACGTCTGTCCTTATCTGCTTGAGTCAGCTTATGCAGCACCCAGCGATTGAACTTGTACATGAAGTTTATGCGATGCATAGCGTTACTAATGGACATGGCACTAATGCCTAACTCCTTAGCAAGCTCTTGAGTGGTTGCATACTGATCTTTCTCAAGTTCTCACAAGCGGGCCTCATCAGCACCAGTCGGCTGGCCAGAGCACTTTTTTTTATGTCATAGTCCTTGTTTTTTTAACTTTCAGTACTAAACCTTCACATAGTTATATGATATAACATTAGTACCTAAAGCTGTACACATGAATTAGTGGCACTTTGTAGCTGAGTTTTTGCAACGGAACTGGAATTAAATGCTGTTTCTAATGTGGTAGCATTATAGTTCAATTTCAGACACCTTGTACTTAATGATAGCAATATTTTTGTACAAATTTTACAACACAGTATTCTAAAGCAAGTGTTTTTCTTTCAAATGCCAAAAATCATTTGACAAAATATGATTAAACATGGCAGTGCAAACTGGTTGCGCAAATGATATTTACTTGGTAGATGTTTTCTCAGGGCATTAAACTGTGGTGACTAAGATAACTGCAGGTTGAAATTCAAAAAACTAAAATATCTTGCATGTGATTTAACTCCTTATATTCCCTGATAAAATTCTTATACAAGGTTTTCATATTTGATTCCAGAATTGATGTAATATTTTCTCAGCAAGTGTTTTCAGTTCTCCTAATTCCACATCTTCTCAAATAGTAATTGAACTACAAATCTTCCATCCTTTTTGTTGATAGTGAGTATGTTTGAAATATCCTTCGCATTATTTTTTCTTCACTCAAAACAGCTTTGATATTTTCAATGGATTTAACTTCCAAAATCTTTGAAAAATTTTGTCAATCTCCTCTTCACTATTCAGAACTAAGCCACAATAATTTACTTCTGAGTTACAGTTGCATGAACCAAATATATATGCATATATATATAATGTTTCTTGGAATATCAACAGTTGATTGTAATTGAAATTGTCCTAGTTTAAAAATCTCAACAGTTTGGCCTCTAGTAACTTGTCTTTGTTAAGAGATCCAAAGTGGGGGCAACTAATCAGTTAATTGATCTTACATATGTTAAATCCTTCTTTAAGATCTGTATGTGTAGCTGATAATCAATATTTTAATGTTCTCGTTTATTCTGGATACTGATGCATAAATTCTTTCTTTCTTATATTTAACAAATTGGCAACTCTTTCTGTGGTAAAAGAGAACATACCTCATTGTTAAGAATGGCAGAAAGTGGAATACTTATTCCTTCTGAATTACAAATATATATAATTGCAGTTGATAATAACATTTTTTTTCCCCATTTTAAAAGACAGCTTGATTAATTTTTATGAGAATCATATATATTCTTGTTTTTAATCTCGCCACTCCATGTTTCCACCTTTGATTTGTCTAAGCATTGATTAATGGCATAAGCGATGGATTAAAAAATGATTTTTGTATGGCATTCCAAACATCCAAACTTAAAATTATATTTTGTAATTAAATGTCCCTTATTAAGACAGTTTAAACACAATTTATTGCTTTTAACTATTTCATATCTTTAATTTTGATTTAGTTTTTAAAAAATGAGTCACATTTATGTAGGGAATGTTGATTATTTTTACATATTACATAAGTCAGGGTACTATCAGTTTTAACCATCAGATGGATATTTCATTTTAGTAGCATTATGGTTAATGTTATCTGATAATTGACATTTTTTCTGTAAAAAATGCAATTAATTCATCAAACTTAGGAACTTCTATAGCATTAATGCTTACTTTAGATTTTTTTGGATGTCTCACAATCTAGCTTCTGAAATACAATATTTAATAGCATAATGTCTGATATTTTTTTAATACTTTAAAACATTCAAAGTGCTCATATTTTTAGGTACATTATCTATTATATATCTTATCCCCTTGGATGATTTGAAAGTTAAATTATGTATACCCATTATTGACTTTATATACATCTCAATTAAAATTCTTTTATTTTCATACTTATCTTGAAGAGCTTTAAATGGAGAACTGAATGTATCATCAACAGTTTCTATATTTTTTGCTTCATGAAATAATGCAGCCTTAAATCATAGAGTTTCTGAACTTCTGGTAACTGAGTATTATTTGCAATAATATTTTCTAACTGCAACTTAAAGTTGTTCCATTCAGTATATTTAATAGGAAATTTAGGAATTGGTATTTTTGGCAAACTTATTTTTACCTTAGAATGAAATTTACTACAGGGACTTTTATGTTCAGAATGTAATATTTTGAAGCAGTCTATACTTTATTTGAATTTTGTTTTTGTTTACACTATCATCATATTCCTTAACTGTGTTTTTTAATCTAGTTACTCTTTTAATGCTGTTTTACTTCTGCTTAATGCCAGCATTTTTTTCTCTACTGACTTAAGAGCCAGTGAACTATAATTCTACTATTCTAACCAAAATATGGACTATATAATAAAGAATACAAACAACTTTATTAAAGGTAAATGTTAATTAAGTAGTACTGCATGTTCTCGCATATTGCCTTAGCTGAATCCAGTGGCTAAGTAAGAGTTTTTTTTTCTCTCTACAACAGGTGGCCCTGTATTCTAACTTGAATGATGCTTAGAAATTAGTATGCTTAGAAAGATTTCATTATTTGTTTATTTTTAGTTTAAATAGAAGTAAATTATTTATTATTAATTTAATATGTTAGAAGTATCTGAAGTAAATGTCAATCTGAAAATTTAATATTTGGTTGTCAATCTATTTGAATTACAAAGTAAAAAATGTCTTACAGGTACTGAATTTAGACTTCAGGACAGAAAAAATTATAAATTTGAATTTTTTCCCTTTGAAGTAATTAATATTACTGTCTATGTTTTTATAAATATTAAGTAAGTGAAATTGGAAACTTATTTAAAATATTTCTTACTGTTTTAATGAAATTTTTTTATTTAGTTAAAAAAATTGGGCTCATCAGCTGTATTTTAAATTGTGCATTCATCTCGCATGCAATTTGATTTGAGATCCACCCTGTCTAATCACATCTGATATGCTGACACAAAATGTTATATTTCAAGCTGCAAAACCTTATTGAATGCAGTTTCTTGGGTGTTAGTCTTACTGTTACAAATGTTATTTATTATTCAATTCTACATACCTAAAACCCGCAGTGCTTACAACACATGTTCAGAATTTAGAAATTTTTCATGCAGTACAAATGGCTTACTGTTTTCTATCTAAATATGGCAATAGGATATAATGAGCTCTGATTTTTATTGCATTATTGTACAGCTATAATTTAATTTAGTAAATGTATGGAAATAATTTAACTAAGTAAATTTAAATAAGCATTATTACTAAAACTGCATATTAACTTGTTTCGAATTTTCATTTTAAGTATTAGGATCTTTGTTTGTATTACAACAAATAAACATTTAATTAGCATATATAAAAAACTAAATGTTTCAATAAAAAGTAGGCTTACTAGGAGTTACTTTTGTATGTTACGCTTAATTGAAAAACACATTGGGGCACACTGTGACATTCAACACTTCAAAGACACAGGCACTTAGAGAAACTTCATTTTTTTTGACATCATTAGTATTATATTATGACAGTGTCTATGAAACATAACTTAAGAAACATCTGTTATACATTGCAGTGCCTAGTAAAAAATCCATTTCCTTGCAATCAAGAACCAAAGGTCCATGACGAGGAAAATAATTATGTGCAAGTTGTTTCACTCAGTCAAAATACTATGCTAATCAATTCAAACTGAGTGAAGTTGATAATGTTTTGATGCAAACTACTTTGAAGCAGTATATGTACCTCCTGTTTTAATATATAAAGTAATTATAATTTTAACGGACAGTTATGTTGTTTATTTTCCATTCTGTTTCTGAATTTTTGAATTTTATATAGCAGTGTATAAAACAGTCTATAAAAATTAACAGTAATTTGGAATTATAAAATATGTTTAACAGTAAATATGTTTTAATTAAGGTGCCAGTCAGCATTTTACACCGGTAAGCTTTAAAATAAAAATCTAGTTTTACTTTCAACAGGTGCATCTTGTAGCACAATAGGAACTAAATCAGACGTTTTAAATGAAGGAGGTAAAGGCTATTGGGATGATGAAACAGTTTTATCTGGTATGTATTTGAATACTTACATATGAGAGTAAAAAGGTCTTTTCTCTGTAATGATTTCAAGTCACAATTGGAATTTATATATTTAATTTTCTTCAGATTTATCATATTGCAATGAAGAGGAATGTGATTCATTGAGAATAAATCAAAGTGAAGAATGCTGGGATGATGAAATATCAGAAACAGTTTTACCTGGTATTTATTTTAATATTTTTGAGACAGTATTGAAGTTATAAAATTTGTAAGGAGGGAAAGTGAATATTTGTTTTTGGTAGTGCTTAAATGTATAACATGTTTTTCCTTTTTTATGTTATTTTATTGTTTGGTTTAAAAGAGTTTATTTTAGTATTTATATAACTTGAATTATTGTAAAAGAATTTGCAAATTTTTCATGTATAATAAATAAATTATGAATTAATCATGATCCTCATTATATATTTAAAGCAGTATATGATTTTAAATATGTTCTTGTATATCCTTTAAAGAACCATTAAAGTCATCAGAATCAAACAAAGTGGATCAGGATGCCACACAGTTTGAAGATGCTTTCTCTGGTATGATTATCTTTATTTAAGTATATCTTATAAAGTGGAAATGAATAAAATTTTTATTGTTTGTATTGTTACCCAGATAATTGTGTCCTGTAATATTTTGAAAGGTTTATATCTTATAAAACAACAATAAATAAAATTTGTGTTGTACACTTTGTTACACATATATTGTTAAGATTTGCTATTGCAAAGTGGTTAGTCCTTTCTTAAAACTATTTTGTAAATAAGTTTTTATTGCAGCCCTTATAAATAAATGAATAAATAAATAATTTTCATAAAGCTACACCACCTGGCATATTATAGGTAGAAAGTCTGAAAGAGGTATTTAGAGTTGCCAACTCTTCCGACTGAGGCAGGAAACTCCCGATTTCTGGCCGTACTCCCGCCAATCCAATTTACAACATATTTCTCCCAACTTTTTCTTATTCTTCAAATCTCTCACGATTTTTATCTAGCTTGGCATAATACTTCGTTATTTGCACCCAAAAGTGATTTTTGGCATCTGAAAGTACAGTGTTTTTTTTTCTAAATTATATATAAAAGTAAACCAAATTTGTTCCTTCAGTGAAACAATATGGCATGCTTCTATTTTGTGTGTGAGAGCACATGTATCCAAAAACATCATGCTCCAATTAGCATCAAATGCTTCTGAGGGCCATCTGGCTTATAATAGCCAATGAGTACAAAAGCAAGACTGAGGTTGTTATTTTGTCCATCTCACTGCCAAGGGTTGTGAGTTTCACATGCTTTCAAGAAATATTTTAGGAAATTGCATTCTTTTATTATGTCAGCAAAAAGGTAAAATATTCATGTCCTTGTAAAAACTATTACGCAGATGACTTTCCTTCTATTATTTTGGCAAGGAAATGAAATGCATTTGCAATGTTCACCGTTTGTCTTTGTGATTTTTCAATTTCGCATGGTGGAAGAGCCGATGTTCTTAAGCATGTGTGAAAACAAAAACAGAAGAACAATGCTAGTTTTATTTTTAAAAAAAATTAAATTCTTCTGTGGAAACAAAAGACTAAAAAGTAACTAAAGCAGAATGCCCGTTCTGTGTCTTTTTACCAGAGGACAACTTCCCATTGAATACATTGGAACATACTACAGCTTTATTTAGAAAAATGTTACCTGATAGTGAAGTCTCTAAGAAATACTCAAGTGCAATGACAAAAATGGCTGGAGTTGTTAAGGACTGGGTGTGAAAAATAAATCCTCAATTATTGATTCCATTATGCCTCTCTATGGATGGAAGCAATAATACCCATGCAAATTTGTATCTAATATATATATGTATATATATATATATATATATATATTTTTAATACAGAGTCTTCAGAAACTGAGTGTAGTTTACTTTATGCTCCTACTTCAGAAGATTTGACAGGCTTTTATATAGCACAACTAATTATTTCTCTAGATAAGAAAGAAGAATTAAGAAAATTCAATTCTTCTAGATAATTGTTTAGCACTGGGTGCCAACAATGCACCATTAGGCTTGGAGGATGGCATTGCAGTCATAATAAAAAATTTTTAAAAAAATTTAAAAAAAAAAAAAAAGAAAAGAAAAGAAAGAAAGAAAAAAAAAGAAAATTCAAATTTCCAAATTATGAGCTACACCTGTCACTTCTTAAATTTAGCAATTTGAAGGGCCAACTTCTTTGAGAATAAGTGGGGATGAACATATTGTTGATATTTCTTATTACCTTGAAAAGAGTTCTAGAAAGAAGTAAATATTGAAACAATTCTAACAGCTGCATAATACTGAAATAAGAGCATGTTTGAAATATGTATGTACACTGCGCAAAAAAAAGGGGGGAGCAGTTCTATATCTCTCATTCTACTGGGCTGATTGATGAAATTCAAATTGTGTTTTTCATGTCTCGAAAGCGCGACTTAGGATATGTATTACATTTATATATAGCATTGTTCTAATATAGGTATTTTGATGCAAAATCAGACTTCTTCTGAAATGAATTGCCATTTTTTTTTTTTTTTTCCATATTTTGATTCGACTCAAATTATGCCAAACTGCCAAGTTTTGTAAAAATCCCACCAGTAGTTTTTAAAATATTCGCTTTCAAAATTTTAGCTCCTCAACTTTGATATATATTTATTAATCTCTCTCTTTTTTTTTTAAACTTACTTGATTCCTTCTTCCAGAATTCAAAATTTAGGGTTAGTTTAAATATAATTTCCAATTTTTTATGATTTTTAAATATTTTTTATAACTTTTTTGAAAAGATTTTGTACTACAGTACAAAGTCCGGAATCCAGGCGTCCATTATATCCGGAATGATCTATAATCCGGACCTCAAAGCCACAAACTTTTTTTTTGTATGCTTTATGCATGCACGTTTAATGTATAACGGATGGTATAAGTTAGGCTAAAATTATTTACTGATTCTAAAGCATTTCAGTTAATGTTGCAGATTGCGCTGTTCCTTAATCATCTAATTGGATCTGGCTTATTATTTTTTGCAGACTGTTAGAGCAATTTTATAAAAATTAAGCTTGAACTTTGGATTATGTCTAAAAGAGTTTCCAATTCTGGAGCTGCCAAAGGATCTACAAAGCGAAAGCATATTTTGATGTCCATCAAACAAAAAGTGGAATTGCTACAAAAAATGGATAAAGGCATATCCATCTCAAAATTATGCGAGGAGTATGACATTGGAAAGTCAACTGTATATGACATAAGCAAAAAGAAAAAGGAACTTTTTGGATTCTGACACCCCACTTGCAATGAATAATAGAAAAGGGTTCATTATGCTAAAAGTGACAATCATGACAAAAGTGGTGATTGAATGAGTCAGACAGCGTCACAGCGAGGGTGTGCCATTGACGGGTCCAATGCTAAAGTGGCTCAAGCCAAAATATTTCATGAAGAAATGAACTTAAACACTGAGTGCACATTCAACAGGTTGGTTAACCTAATTTAAAAATCGCCATGGTATAAGACAATTAAAAATTTCAGGTGAAAAAGCTTCAGCTGATACTGAAGCTGCTGAACAATTTGCAGATGAATTTATTACTAGTGAACAATTATCTCTAGAACAAATTTACAACACTGATGAAACTGGTCTTTGCTGGCAATATGTACCGTGAAATACCTTGGCAACCTCTACAGAAAGCGCTCCAACTGGTGTCAAAGATTCCAAAGCGAGACTAACAATTTTAGCGTGCGCAAATGCTGCAGGAACACATAAGTGCAAACTTTTTGTAATCGGAAAACATGCAGGACCTCGAGCATTTGAAGGAGTAACGATTTTGCCCATTATATATCGAGCAAATGAAAGAGATGATTGCTGGGAAAATCATTTTATACCTGAGGCTCGGCAACATTTGAATTCGGTTAGTTTACCTGATGACTCAAAAATAGTCCTGATTGTTGACAACTGTTCGGTGCATAGTTCACTTAAAGTTTTAGTGAAAGGTAATGTATCCATATTATTCTTCCCTCCAAATTGTATGCCTATCATTCAGCCTATGGATATGGGAATAGTGCACATGCTGAAATGCAAATATAAAGTAGCATTGTTAAAATTTATGTTAAATTTCTTGAACAATGGCAAGACTATTCAAGACTTTTTGAAATTTTTTAGTGTAAAATCTGCTGTGTCGAGCATTTCAAGATCATGGGAGGATGTGTCTCTAGATACATTAAAAAATGCTTGGCATAATTTATGGCCAGCTACCATATTTCTTGATGAGGACGATGAAGATGATAGCTGCGAATTTGAAGGTTTTGGGGCATCGCAAACTAAAGGTGAAATTTTCCAGTTATTGGATTTTATAAAGAAATGTGGAGAAGCGGTTATAAATGAAGATGATATAACAGAAGTTTTCCATTGCAACGACAATGCCCCAATCATCAGTCAATTAACGGATGGCGAAATCTTTAGTATGGTTCTAGATCCAGAAAATACCACTTCCGATAGTGAAGAAAGGGACAGAGGGGTTATTGAAAACGAAAAAATTTCGATTGATAAGTTAGTCGGTATTCTCAACACAGCAATTGCAGGACTTGAACAATGGAACTTTGTAACTGAACAAGAAATTATGTCTGTTTATAGAATTAAAGAGAAAATATTAGCACAAAAAACGAAGCAACTTAAACAACTTAGTTTATGTTTATGTTTAATAAAGTAAACAAATAAATAGTAAGTTTTTTTTTTTTTTTTTTTTTTTTGTAAATTTTAAAAGCCTTTAGATCATAATTGCTCTTTATTTCATAAATTGCAGTTTCATATTTTTTATTTTAATTTCTGCATGCCATATTACCATATTTATAATCCGGAAAAACTCCTAATCTGGAATCGACTAAGTCCCGAAGAGTCCGGATTACGGACTTTGTACTGTATAACAGGGTTTGTATGGTCCTTAAAAGTCCTTAGATTTTTTAGAAATGATTTTTGGTCCTTAAAAGTCCTTAATTTCGGCCAAAATCAGCAGAAGGTCCTTAATTTTTAATCATCTGAAATTTCTGTCTTGTTTTTACAACTGCTGTTTTGAGTGTGAATTATCATTATGGAGGAATATTTTTAACAATTCAATGACAAATATGATTATCTTTTGAATGAGTTCATGGGTTATAATTTGTTCCTATTTCTAATGTAAAGGAAGGGATACTGGAGCTTCTGAGCAAGGAGTCAAACAAAAGCATTTAATAATTATTTCATTTTCTTCTAATTAAGAGCATTTAAGCAACTCTCTGCTTTTGGGGATGTGAATTCTTTCATTAAACTGCTCTAAAGGCGACTTATCAACATTTTGGCGATTTTAAGATTAATTTCTATAGAAAATTTTCAATTCGGATATCTGGGAATTTTTCGACAATTTTTTTGGAAAATAGTATAACATTGACAAATTTAACTAAAATAATGGTAATATATTTAAATTACATTTAAGGAATAACATTAAAATAAAACATTTTTATTTTCTTTTGCTGTCATATTATAAAGTGGCATTACTTTCCATTTTGGCAACTTATTACATAATATTTTAATTTGAAATATAAACAAGGTAATAAATTCTATAAAGCACTGTTTACAGAACAATTCATAGCAAAAGCAAAAGTGCTATGTAATTAATTAAAAATTTCTTCCTTTGATATTCATGGTAAGAATTTTTCCCATGTAATTGTCTCAGAATATTCAGAATTGTCAGAATATGTATCAGTTTTCTCTGTAAAATTAATTTTCCACTTTTTTCACTGATTCTTTTTTCCCCCAAAAATATTTCTACTCCTTTTTCTCTTGTAGAATTGGTAGGGTAACTTTTCTTTAGGATTTTAAACATAGCAACTTGGAAAGTTTAGAAGGATTTGAAGGCAAGATTTACAGACCCACAATTTTCTGGAAGGCTCCAGAAAAAATTGACAAAATGAAAATGTCTTCATTGTATTAACACATAATGGATGTATTTTACAGAAAGTTTGTGTTGAATTTCGAACATTTTGAAGAATTTTTGGAAGTCCAATTTTGTGTCACAATACCTATGTTAGAATGATGCTATATATAAATCTAATATATATTTTAAGTCGTGCTTTCGAGCCATGAAAAACGCAATTTGAATTTCATTAATCGGTAGAATAGAGAGAGAGCTGTCCCCTCTTCTTCTTCTTCCCCCCCCTCTCTGCACAGTGTACAGGCTGGTTATCTTTAGAGAAATGTTTATCTGGAATCCTGGACCAGTGGAACTACATGCATTTAAAAATTAGTAACTGAACTTTCAAACATTAATTAGGTACTATTTAAAGTTAATTCATTGGGAAAAAATATATACAGTCAAAAGTCGTTAATCCGGACTATCGATTTTTCCGGATTATAGATCATCAGTTTAAATCTGGTAAGATGGCATGCAGAAATTATAAAATTAAAAATATGAAACCGTAATTTATGAAATAAAGAACATTTATGATCTAAAGGGTATCAAAATTTACAAAAAAAAAAAGCTTAATATTTATTCGTTTACTTTACTTTCTTCGCTATCGGAAGCGAATTATAATGATGAGGAATTTGATTTAAATCGTATCAAAGACGGAGTACATCGAGATGAAATACTACATTTAGTAAGGAATTATAAGCCAAATAAAATAAAAACATCTGCCCTGAAGATAAGGATAGTACTGACAGATCAACTTCCAATTCATTGCGCACCGCGCGTCACGCTGCCGCAGAGCAGCGTGAAATTGATAAACAGATTTCGGAATGGTTAGATAAACAAAGGATATGCCTTTATCCATTTTTTGCAGCAATTCCACTTTTTGTTTAATGGATTTCGAAACATACTTTCGCTTTGTAGATCCTTTACATATTAGTAAATATATATCGGAAATTCTATTTGACATAATGGAAAGTTCAAGCTTACTTTTATAAATTGCTCTAACAGTCTGCAAAAAATAATAAGCCGGATCCAATTCTAAGATTAAGGAACAACGCAATTTGCAACGAGCGTGCGTAAACGTATTTTGGGCATGCGCACAAGCATATTTGCAGCCGTAAAGGTCTTACGCACATGCGTCAATGCGACACATGCGCAGAAAGTTTATAGCTTTGAGGTCCGGATTATGGGTGTCCGAATTAACGACTTTTGACTGTATTTTCTTTCTATGTATTTTTATCATTAAAAAATATTTTTGTTGTTGAGAAAATTCTCCTGATTTTTGACTAACACAGGTTGGCAAGTATGGGTACTGATTGTAATGCAGTAACAGATTAAACATCCATGTTTTATAATTTGAACCCAATTAAGAAAATGTTATATTTCTATTAGATGCTTTCGCACATGATATCTATACCTTTTTGTAAAAGGGGAAATGAGTAAATAACATTTTATTAGACTGAATTATGTATTTAAGCTTTCAGTTTTATTGAATTTGCACCACTATATGTATTCAATAGTACAGATAACTATAATAAATGGGATGCATATGCAACATGATAATGTAAACTGATTGTGTTTTTAGATGTGCAAATAAAGGGCAAAAACGTTTTATGGTTCTTACGAATCATTAATATTTTGTTTCAATGGCATATTATTTTAAGCTAATATCGTAACATGAACAATGTTTTTTTTTTTTTTTTTTTTTTTTTTTATTATTATTATTTATTTATTTAAATTTCTATCAATATTTTAAAGCTGAATGGAAATAAAGAATAATTTTCCTTAGTTTTTTTTTTTTTTTTTTTTTTTTTAAGTATTAAATAAATCACCCATATTTTATAAGCATAGATTACTCAGTAAAATATGCATTTTTTGACAATTTGATGACAAATGGCGATTTTTAACCTTCTGTAGTTATCTGAAATTAGAAATAAATATATTTCAATTTTGTAGAATGTGTAAATAAGAAAAATGAATAAATGACATTTCCTAGGGCTGAATTATGTAGTTGAGGCTTTAATTTTAATGTTTTTATTTACTATTTTAATAATTTTTATGTAAGTTTTATAATTGATATATTTTAATGTGTGTGGTAGAAAAAAAAAAAGAAAAAAAAAACTCCATCACCTGCGAAAAAATGGAAAAATAGTCAAGTAATGTGTTTCATGTGTATGTTTAATGTAAAGATCATATTGTTGCAATTAAATAAAGTTATAGATTAATCAAGTTTTATTAGGATATTAATAAATTATTTACATTTAATTACCAAGAAAAATTAAAAAGAGTGAAAAATGTAATATTTAATGAAACATGGAACAATGTAATTGATACACAAATTTTGTAATTAATCTAGGTCCTACATAACTACAGTCATATTACATGTGTATGTGTATACACATACAAGGACCACTCAGTATTTAGTAAATCTTCCACAGGCTGTCATGACAGCTTCTGCCATGGTCTAGCATAGAAAATATCAACTTCTAATGAATCCTGGCCATTAACATTAATAATACTTTTCTACAGTGTAATATTAGTAGCAGGCTTCTTTGCAGCAATTTTTATACCCATTTGGTACCAATAGTTTTCAGCAGGATTCAGATCGGGACTAGTCTCGGGTCAGTCCAAATAAGTTAAATTGAACTCACAGATTTCGCTGTGTGACAGGGTATAGATGAAACGAAAAATGTAATTTCCAACAACTTTAAAATGATCCCAAATAATTGGCTTTAAACACTCCTCCAAGATGTGGATATAAACTGATGCATTCATAGTTACAGTAATAAATTTCAGATGTTCAACTCCTTTGCTGGATGTTTATCTCCAGTCTATTTAGCTCACTGGGAATTTCGCAGTTGATAATATGCACTCTAGATGATCGATCAGCTTAACATTTACGTCTCTGAACATACAGCTTATCATCCAATCCATGTAATTTTAATTTAGATTCATGCAAAAAAATTACTGAGTCCACCGAGCCTTTGTACATGAAAACAGCTCTTTTGCCCAAGAAAGCCACTTCTTCATAATTATTTTTGTAAGTAAAGGCTTTTTTCCTAGGACAATGAAACTGCATTCTGCAAGGCATCTTTGGACAGTTTGTGGATTTAAATTAATGATGCAGTCTTTCTCAAATTCAGCTTTTGAATCAGCAGCACTTGCATTACAATTATAGAGAGATATACAATTTAAATATTTTGTGATCACCCTCTTCTAACCCTTCTCTCAGCATCACAAGTTCCAGTTTAATTTCTTTCACGAAGGCCGGTTGACTATAGCCAATTTTTTTGCTATCACATGTGTCGAATATACTTCTTCAACTATTGCAATTGCCACACATTTTTTGTAGTCAATTAAATGTATGAAACCATCCTTTCATTGCTTAAACAGACATATGAATGGCTTATTTCCCATTTTGCAATGCTGTTTATAGAATCGTATGACACAATACTTCAGAAGCAATGTATGATGCAGTACAAATGTGGAATGATCTCATATCTTGCTTTGAAGTAACTAAGATAATTTTATGTGAGCAATATAATGCATTAATGTTACAAAATATTTATTTTTCTAGATAATGCAGTTTTTTTGTCTACCGTGGTATCTAGTGAAGATGTATATTTTAAAAAGTTCTGGTTTTGATATTTCTAATTATATTGATTTTTTTCTTTAGATCCATCATCAGTTCTTGATGATTGGGACATTGATTATGTGTTTGGGTTCAGCAGAAGTATGTTCCATTAATTTTGTAATTTGCTTTAACTATGATAAAAAAGCTAAAACAAATATCTTTGCAGTCTTCTGAAATGATGTCTTGTGTGCAGCCCTTATACGAGAAATTATGGTTAGATATTGTGTTCCTTACCTTATTTCTAATTTCATTTAAACTTAAGACTGTTCAATAACTTAAATAGAAGGCTTCTCAGATTTACTGTCTCATAGCATAAGATAAAGACAATTAATAAAGTGTATGACATTACATATGTAATGTAGCAAGAAATATTACATTACTTTTGAATTTAGTCATTAGGACAGTTCAATTGAGTGACAAAAATGAGAAGTCAAATCAATTCAAATGAAATCGTGGAAAGTAGAATTGTTGAAATATGTGATAAAGAAATTGATTATGAAATTATTATTGGCAAGGCCTAATTTCCACAGGGCAAGCAGGATACATGTCCTAAGACTCCAAATCATTCTATAATATTTAAAATATATAAAATATCACGTATCTTTTTTATTTCTATATTTTTTAAAATGTAGAATTAGAAGCAGGAATAAAACGTTAAAGCTTTATTTTTTTTTTTATTTTTTTTTTTTTTTATGCATGCCTTTCTTTAAAATTCAGATGCAGGTCTTTTGAAATTATTGAGTGTTAAAAAAAGTACAGTTTTTATTTACAACTATAGTTTGTAATGAGCAATGACATGATTTTTCAAACAGACCAAAAATTAAATTAAGATGGTCAGGACATAAACATAATGATATGATCCACTAAAAGAAATAATTTTTCCACATTTGAAAGAAAATTAATTTTTTTAATTCTACTTTTCATTTGTATATTTAATTATTGAATTGATAAGTGATTTAATTGCATAAATTTGAGCTTATCTCTGTAATTTAATTCATGTTTTTAGTGTAATAAATGATAATTCTTTAGACTCAACAACTTTTTTGGGGGGAGGGGAAGGGAATCTTGGATTAAAATGTGTAAGTTTATGTTTTATACTACACATATCAAATTAAAACCCTGAAAACAAAATGCACAAAAATGGGAAATATATCTTTCAGTTTAAATAACTTTGAATGAAGGTTATTTCGTGAAATATAACTTGGTATCAGTGACATATACTATTTTGAAACAGCTAGAGAGGAGAGCCTCAATTAATAGATTTCCCCCCATGCCTCCAGTTTTATAAATCAGGTTTTGCCCATTGGATGGCTGAAGCTAGAGATCATTTATGTCTTACTCTAGGATTTGATTTCTTGGCTACTAAATAAGTTAATTTCATATGATTTTCTTGGTTTTTCCTACAGTGCCCAAACTAAAAATACAAGCTAATTTATCTCAAAGTCTTTAATCCTTAAGTCATCTTTTCTCTTAGGCAGAAAGCTGTCATTTGCTGTCTTGAATGGATTAACCAACCAATTCTGAAGTTAGCAGAATTTTTCCATTTTGAAAAGTCTGAAGATGCATATTTACTGTATTGCTTAACTTTGGTTTTCAAAATTAAAGTTGCTTATCAATTGTGTTAAACCAAATCTTTAACATATTTCTTTGGGGGGAAGGACCTTGAAGCAAATGGTTAAAATTAGGTGATGTAGTTAATAAAAACTTTGGGCACAGCATGTATTGCAAGTATGCAGCTTACCTCCTATAGAGACAGAGTTAGAATATGAACATTTCACCATTAATTCTAACGAAGTTTGATAGGCAGAGTTTTGCATATGCAGTTGGACAAGATGTTTCGTGGTAATTTTCATTTAAGAGTATGTTGTGTGATGGATCTAGACAATAAAAATGCACGACATAAGTCAATATTAATTCATTTAGTAAAATGTCCTCATCATGCCTACATTTGCATTATCTATACTGTGATAAGCAGCTGTATTATCTATGGAAGATTATGCAGCCTTTTATAGCATTTCATAGCACATGCTTGAGGCTTTATTTGTATCTTCTGTTAAGTGTAGTTGTTTGGCATTACAATTTAGACTAATGTTTTACCTGACCTCGTGGACAAATGCAGATAAGAATTGTGGCATCCATGACAAATCCGATTTTAACCTGAAGGCAGATGGTTTTTGCATCTGTTTAAGGAAGCACATAAAAAATGCTGTACCAAGAGTGTTTACACATTTCTAGAACAGTTTTGATAAAGAATTTTAAAAAAGCAAAAATTTTGGAATGAAAATATCTGGTTACAGTTTATTATTTGAAATAAGAAACATCGTCTGCTACTTCTAAATTTATTCTTTTGTCGCATGTAAACAAGTTGTGGATTGAAGGATAATGTTTTCGCACTTTCTGAAGAGAAATATTCCTATTCTGTAATTCACATTTATTATGAAATGCATGGTATTAAAATTTCGAAGTGCAAAATAAGTACTATTATTAATTGGAAAGGGAAAAACCACCATTCATTACCTCTTTATGGAAAGAAGACTTCAAACTGTTACCTGAAAAAAGTACTTTCTTATATTTATAAAATTAAATCATTAGTGGCAAGTCAAAATCCGCCGACACAGAAATTATTTGTAGTCTCTAAATACATCTGTAGCAACATTAAATGAAATAATAAACCAAGATTTACAAAAGAAAATTAAAACACATAATGTATACCAGTTTTTGACGAAGCATATGGCTCAATGCAGAGCAATATGTAGAACCCTATATGAAAACTATTTAGCAGGAGATAAATGGAAATACATTGTGACCCTTGATGAAGCATGCTTTTATTTAAGTGACTGCAACACGAAAAAGTCTATTTATTATCAAAAACGAAGAGAAAAAGAAAGCACAAACCTCATTCCCTCAATGTAAAGAAAATTTCAATAAAGTGTTTCTGATTGTTGTAGGATTCTCTTATAATAGGCAATTAAAAATAAGAAGATTGGGATAAGATGTCAAAATCAGTGTACTATAAATGTCAAAATCAGTACTTTGAGAAGAAATTCCATTTTTTTATTCCATTGACTTTCAAAGAGTGAAACTTCATCAAGACAAAGTAACAAGTCATACTTAGAAGTACCACTGCATTCCATGAAAAAAATTAAGACTGATACAGGTATTGTGTATTTATCTTTTCAACATATTCCTGCGAAGTTCTCGGACATTTCACCTATGTGCACTATTGTGCTGCCTTTGGTTGCTTAAAAAGAGGTCTTTTTAAGTGCATAATGGACTGTAGAAAAAATGAAAGAGGAACGAAAATCAATACCCTTAAAGATTTTACAAAATGCTGTTCTATCATGGAAGTCATGATACAGACTTATAGTCCCGAACAAAGGCTACCAGATCGAACATTTAAAAAATATATTCTTTACATTTTAAGCATTAATTAAACAGCCCCAAAGTTGTTCTAAAAATGTGTAAACCCCCTGTGTATTTTTTAACAGCTAGCTTCCATTGATGCTGGCATAATTAAGACCAGTGCAGTAAGTCTTTAATCATTTTTCACTATTTTGCAAATCATTGCCATTTTCAGCTTCAAAACAAAGAATAATTAAATATAATGATATTTTCCAGTGCTTTCAAATACTAAATTAGTATTTTTATGTCTTAATAATTCGTTTAAATTTTATGAATAAACCTGTCAGAACTGGAAAAAAAAAAAAAAAAAAAAAAAAAAAAAAAATTGGACCTTTATTGAAACTCCAAGCAGTAACAATTGTTTCAGTTGAAGATAACTTTGGCAAATCTGAATATCTTCATCATATGGATCATCAACTTTCATCAATTTACATCCTAAAGTATAAATAGTATAGGGAATATAAAAAAAAAGTATGGTGATGCCTAATACTCTGTAAATCTTCTCTCCACTTGACCGCCGTCAGGACAGGCTGCCACCATTTCATCGACAGGACAGGCCTCCAGCAGCTGATTTATCGTAGACCATTTTGCCATTGAGTAGATATGAAATATGTAGTAAAGGTTGCTCTTAATTTATATAATTGTTTACAAATACGGGATATAAAGAAATTACACATAGCTAGAAAATTATGTCAGTGTCAAATAGAACAAAATTATCACATTTTAAAATTATGGCCTAAACCTCTGATATAAACAAAAGTTATATTATCATGTCTAAAATTATGCAGATGCAGTGTTTGCATCATTCATCAAGGTTTCTTGGAATTGTACTCATCTAGTTCAGAGAAATCACTCATGCAAGCAGGAAATTCACATTTTTATGAAATCTTAATAGAAAATTGAATTACATTGGAATTTTGTAAGCATATTACTCTTTTAAAATTAATAAATATGTAGACAGGTAGATAGCATTTAAAGAAAAATAGATCTTAACGGTGAATTGGTCTGATGGGGAAATGGCATGATGGCGACGTTGAAATTATCACCTCATTCCCCAAATAAATCCATAAAATACTAAAAGTTCCATTTCCCCAATGGTGCAATAGTTCTGCTGCATTTTCATGGTTTTCCTTTCTATATGGTAGATTAATATGAGCCATTTTTTATGAGAAAGTCCTTCATATAGGTATTTCATTGTTTGACTGTTAATTGCTGTGCTACAATTAATTTATCAAGCAGTGTTTGAAGTAAATATGTAAAGGAATATCGATTAATGTAATCAAATAAACAAATTTTATTCACAAAATTGTTTACCAACTCACCTTGTTATAATTCATCTGCTGTAGGTTCCAGGGAAATTTACAAGCATCCCATTAAAGATACAGAAGACTCTGCATTTAAAGTCTTCCTCCCATCTGATTTACATGCTCCTCGGATGAACAAGAGTGAAATTTGGTGTCCTGTAGAAGAAGGGCAATTTGATGACTGTGACCTCTGATATAAACTGGTATTAGTTTTTAGAATGTTACTTATTTTAAATTTAAAAAAAAAAAAAAAAAAAAGAGTACTACTTCTGTTAACTATTTTGAGATTGAAAAATGACCTGTATATTTATATTTTTAATATAATTAAAAAATAATAACCTGTATATTTTATTGGTATTTGTCTGAAGTCTATTTTTATTGTTAGACTTAAAATAATGTACCTGTTTTTTTATTTTACTTATACAAAAGCTTAAAAAATGTCATGCTGTAAAGCATTTTCCTCTTACCTCAATCTGGTAAAAATGTAAGTTAAAATTTTTTCTTTCTTAAATGAAGAGAGGAAAGCCAGTCACTCTTAGAATGGATGCATTTTACATTGTTCTTTTCCTTGCAAAAAATATACATTATACATCTTGTCAGCCAGGTATGTTCTTATGTTCGTGTCGGCTCAATATACATCTTGTCACCAGTTATGTGTTTATATTATTTTTCAGATGACTTCTTTGTTTGTTAAACAGTCTTGTTGCAAGGAGGTAAAATTTCCCCTCTTGTTTTTTCCCCTGTGCATTTAAATAAGAATTGTGTGTTTTTTTATTCTTATTGAAAATTGAAATATCTGCCGTACTGATTGTTAAATTCTTAAGGAAAGAAATGTTTGTTATAATTATGCATAGTAATTGATTTTTAGAGAAATCTAAGTAAATTTGCAAAGATTATGCAGTTAATTGTAATTTCTGCAATGTTACCTACAGTCTAATAAATGCATTAAATTGTGTTTGTGCATATAAATAAATTCTTTTGAGAAACAAATATTTTAATTAAGCATTTTACTTTATATTTTTAGTGATGGTTCAGAATTACACAAGTATTATTTTGATTTGCAAGTAATCTGCTTTATGTTGGATATTGTGCCTTTGTTATTGCAGTGCATTTCTATGCTATAAAAGAAATCTACAGTAATTGTATATGTTGTAACAAATGTGCTTTAAAAGCAGATATTTTTACTTGTGCAGATGACTGCAATTTGAATATTGAAATAATTTCTGTAATCATGTGGTTGTAGGAGTTTGTACTTCACTATTGTGAATTAAGTGCAATTATTCTTAAGTGATAAGATCCTGTATAAAATAATTGCTATTTATTGTCTTCAGGCAGAAAATATGGTCTCTAAATTTTTAAAAAGTTAATAGATACAGAACTGCTGTTGTGTAAATGTATAAATGAAAACTTTTTTAAATGTTTTATGGGGATGGAATAATAAAAATAGTTTGTAATATTTTTATTTGTTAATTTTTTTCGTCTTACTTGAAAAGAGCATCGAACATAGGAAAAAACTTCGAGGATGTAGGCTGCAATTTAAGTAGCATGGATATGATTTCCAAAGTTATCTTTTGTGAAATTTTGATCTTACATCACAGTTAAATTGATAATTCTAAATATTTTAAATTTTAACTTCTGCAGTATTTTGAATAAGTAATAAATATTTGCTTCACAAATGTGACCTTTCTGAAAGCAGATTTTCTTTTGTGCTGTTTTACATTTCATGATGCAATGAACTTTAAAAAAATCTAGAATCTTAAAAGTAGTTTTACTTTCATATAATGTTTTTTTTAACTCACTGGAAAATTAAAAACGTGTCATTTAGTAAGTAAGATTCTGTGTAAAAGATTATGTTATACTTTGTTTCTTAGTGTCTTCTAGTTCATGGAACTGTATAATCCATGGGGACTTTACTCTTTTGAACACAGTATTCAATTTATTCATATTTAATAGTATAAAGATTGTATAGTATTCACAAATTCTATTTACAGTGAACTTTAAAATGCCCATCTCAAAGAGATAAAGATATGCAGATTTCTGAATATTATAAGGATTTTTATTTTAAAATAAAATATAGATTACTTTCATTAGTTAATCCTATTGAATTTAATCAGCTATCCATCTGTCATATTTTTATACTGATTAATGTTTCCATTAACTTTTCCATACTATTAACTTATTTAAAGTTTCAAAATCTTCAGCTTCCCTCAACTTACAGTACATGTGACTCTTAACCAGGCAAACTGAATGTATGTTTAGTTTCTGAATCACTTAGCTTTCTTGAAATTATCTAACCATGTTGTTGCTGTTAGTTCTTAATATATATTAACAGGTTTCCTGTGCTTTCCCCTCCAATATATTAATTCTACTTTCAGTTCATTAGTTGCATTTTTAATTTCAAAAGCTTTCTCAAGTGAGATAAAGTCCAGCACAGTACAGGAATCGTTAATGTCAGATATCTTTTAATCATATCTTTGACTTTAGACTTTATGAATTGGAGTTCTATTCAAATTACTTGCATTTTGCATATGAAGCAGTTCTTGTTAATTTTTTTGTTTCTATCTTAACTTTTGTAATTTAAAAAAAAAAAAAAAAATCTGTCTTCATGATTAAGCATTTCTAAAACTCAAAATTTGCTCCAACACAATCTGGATCATTCTTACACTTTGAACTTTGTGAAATAAGTCTTCTTAGATGCTCTCATGTTAAGTTAGGGGGGGGGAATAGTTGACCCCAATTCTTTTATAAGAATGTTAAATCTCATTTTCTACATCCTTTTATCACAGATATTTTACTTTTTTCCTCCCCCCCCATGTAACGATAGAAAGAAAAAAAACATCTTCTATCCTTCTTTAATAACCTCATTCCTGATAACAGATATCATGGTTCGTTTCCTCATGTCTTATAGCCTACAGAAGAAGGAGATACTTTTTAGTTTTGAATGCTATATTCAATTTATTCAGATTTAAATAGCATAAATGTTATATGCACACATTTTGTGTACAAGTTCAAGTGCTTGTCTCCAAGAGACAAAAGATACACTTATTTCATGGGCTTATATTTAGTTATTGACAAATGCATGTTCGTATCTGTTTTGCAATCACCTATTTTGTCTCCATAACCTGCCTTATTCCCTGCAGCTGTAATGTTGCAATGCATGATGTTAGAAGAACTTATCTCAAGAAACAAGCTTCTCACAGCACTGATTTGAAAGTTCCTGCCTGAATTACCTGAGACATTTTTAGGATGCTGACAAAATGTTTCACTGCACATGCTCTGTGCTGCATAGTTCTTTGCCAAAGAATTGGTTTTCGCATTTGTCAACAAATTTGATATTCTGGATTCTCAGAAATGTTTCTTTCAATGCTCTGTTGAGAAATAGGCTATATATCTGTTAGTAGTTTGTCTGCAGAAGGAATATAATGAGTTTTTGTCTTGAAATATGAGAAGGTGAGTATCAGATACTACAAATTCAGAATCATTTCACATAAATATTTCTATTTAACAATGGTGTAGCAAATATAATATATACAAGTGAAAATTTCTGTTTTGCAAACAAGTAAGAAATATTCATACAACTATGTTAAATATTCAAGCTAGTTTTGTAATTTTTTTTAAACTCTACTTTGTGTTCAGATTTATATTTTAAAGTTAATGTGTAAATGTTGTTTACTGTTATGATATGAACATCATTCTTTTATATTTTAGTGATTTTTTTTTTTTTTTTTTTTTTTTTTTTTTTTTTTTTTTTTTTTTTTTTCTGTACCTATTTAAATGTGTAAAGTTTCACATTTTGTTATATAAATTAATTTGTAGTGTGTAAACAAAGTATGCAGATTTGCAAATAGCAAATATTAAAAAAATCAGCATCTAAAGACATTTAATAAAACTTAAATATTAATGATTTAAATTTAAACGTTTTCATGGTTTGCACATTTTACATGGTTACAGGTTATGTAAAAAGACTTTGTAATTAGTTAAATATTTTAAAGGGATTTTGTTGAATTTTAGGTAAAGAACTTCAGACCTTGTGTTTAAATTACCTCTTTTTCTCAAAAAAGAATGTGGATGTTTGTTCAAACCTCAAAACCTTGTTTGTTATTATCAAAATTCATGCAAAATTAATAACTTTATATTAGTTTTTTAGTATCTGAGAATATTATTCAGAACAGTACAGAAGAAAATTCTAGAGGAATATTTTTATATAAGTCTTTGAGTTAAAAATTTTTGTCATATGTTTTTAATAAATATGTATTAAATAACTGGATTTTAATCATTTACATAACATTCAGTATTGAAAATGTATTTATGACATACAAGGATGGATTAGATAGGATAAGTTCTGGGACTAGTGTTGTTAACTCAAAAAAGTTACTTTGTGTTACAGTGCAGTGATCTGAGCATTCTTCCTGCTGCTTGGAATGCATTGTCAGAGTTATTTTGCATAACCTTTTGCCATTTGTGCTGGATTCATGATTGGAAGGACAATCATGAAGGATGAATTATCCGCAACATATTTGCATAGGTCTTGCATAGGTCCAATGTGATGCAGTCCCTTCTGCTCAGAGAATAGAATTGGCAATAAGCATGTTGCATGTTCAGTTCCAGTGTTAAAACTGCTAGTGTGGCCCCATTAGATGCATCGACAATGTTTGTAGTATTGTTAATTGTTTACCTCATATGATCCACTTTTATAAATTCCTAAATTCATTTCACATTTTCGAGGTTTGTCGAAGGTTTTCCAGATCACTCATCAGCTTCAAAGAACATTTTCCACCTTTGAAACACTATGTATAACTAATTGCTATAATATTGATGAAGCATGTTCAAGTCTGTATAGCTTACTTTCCTCAGTTAATGCACGATTTTAAATTGGCTTATTGTTCCACCTTGCTGACCATGATGTAATCACAAATTTCTACACATACATGATCATTAAAACATCACTGTAAGAACTCCCAAAAGAAACATGTCTCTTAGACATTGCTTTAATCAAGATTAAAGGTCACTTTAAATGTGATTTCAAATGTGTGCTACCAGTTACTGTGTGCTACAGAATTAATTTAGGAATTTCTTAATTCAGCCGTGTAACTTGAATATGTAAGATTTCCTTTTAAGTCAACTAATGTTAGTAGTCATATCAATTTTAGTTATATAGCCCTCTTATGCTGTGCTGTAACTTAATGAAATAAATAAACAAATTTTTAATTTTACTCTTTTGTGATTAAAATTAAATTTGTATTTTAATGATATTGAAGATGTGCAAGAGAATTTATCTCAATTTTTTAAATAACGTCAGTTTTTTTTTCCAATTATTTTCCTTTGATCTATTATAAATATTAGCAATAATAATTGTGCATAAAGAAGCTTAAACTTAAGTTTTGTATTATGTGTAAAAACACTTTTTTACAGAAAATAGGTATTGAATCCTAATTGACTTTTGTTATTGTGACATTTTCATTATGATAATAAAGTTTCAAATTTTGAAATCTTGATTTTTGTATATTATTTAGTTTAAATTATAAACATCAACTAAGTGAATCACAGCATTTTTATTTAATATCACATATTTTAAAAGTAGAATAATAAAATTAGCAACTACACATTTCTCTTTGAGTCTTTTTCTACTGAGACAAATCTTTTATGTTTTTATGATTAATTGATTTTGTATCGAACTTTTTTTAATTTTGAGCAATGAAATACATTCAGTAAAGTAAATGTATTATAGTCACAATAATTTTTTATTTCTGATAAATGTGTCCAGGTGCACATTGTGCATATTAGTTTCTATTCAATTTGATAAATTTCTTAATGATATTTATTAGTGAGTGTATTTTACAACTATATGAAAGACTTGTTTACTGCAATGCCTTAATCTTTGACTAAGATGTATAAATATTTCCAAACATTTTTTAAAAAATGGTATCTTTATAAACACTTGCCAGAATAAAATGTAATCTTAATTAACTAGAATTATTTTGAAAGCTGCAACAGGGATGAGAAAGTCTCAAAATTTTAAGTGTAAAATTAATAGCCATTAAATGAAGATAACTGCAATAGTTAAATGTAAAACGTTTTATTTATATTATATTAGTGAGCTAAAAATTCAAGAAGAAAGATAAAAATAAAATATATCAGCAACGTTTTGCATGTTTTATAGGCATTTATAATTGAGTAATTTATCCAAACTCTCTCGATATCTAGATAGATGAGAAACATGCCAGAGCCAAAGAAAAAAATGAGCAAAGCAGCAATGTTGAGTTTGGCATAAATTTTTGTCACAACTCGAGAATGAATGTAAAAAGCATCAAGAAAACCAAAATCACCAATGGACGAAACTTTATGGATTATTTTTGCAGGCCTGGAATCAAAATTGGGATTAAATTTCCAACTATGATTAGCTACAAAGACTTGTTAATTTCACGTTTTTGGACATAAGATTTGTGTTCTTTGATG